AATATCCATATTAGATTCATTAGGTAGGTAGATACATATATTGAATACATAGATTAGCGAGATAGATGAATAGATAGATATGATAAATAGGTGCATACATGCATAGATGCAGACATACAGGAGAACGGAGGTTTCTTGCTGGCATTAGAATGCTGAGGCCCAACTAATCAATATGGAAGGAGTGCTGGAGCTTGGAAATCATCATTTTGTGATCATCATAGTAAAAATGGGCAAGAATAGTCAATGGATACTAAATCTAGGGAGGAATATTTTGATGAGAGAAAGATACTTCATATATTGATTGTCAGTTAAAAAAAAGAAAAAATCGATAACTATATTTTCCAAAAATTGGCAACACTTTGAATAAATGATCAAATTAACATCACCAATGAGGGAAGATGGACATTGTGTATCTCCAATTGTGATATCCTAAGATAGCGTATGACCTGAACCTAATCACAAGGAAACATTAGACAACCCAAAATGAATAACTTTCTATTAAATGGTGGAAGGACTGTATTTTTCAAAAATGTTATTGTCGTAAAAGATAAGAAAAGACTATGGAAACATTCTAGACGATGTAAGGCTAAAGAAACTTGACAATTAGACAGGATCCTGTACTACAGGAGAAAAAGACATCATAAAAGGCATTTTTAGGTTAAATGACAAAATTAGATATGGATGGTATACTAAAGTATAACATAAATGTAAATGTATGAATTTAATAATTGCAGTGGTTATGTAAGAAAGTACTCCTACTCTTGGAAAACACATTGAATTATTTAGTGATAAAGATCTACAGTATATATAACTCACCTTCAAATGTTTCAGAAAACACACCCTCACGTATACATAGTAAGAACAAGCAAAAGAGAACTTGAAATGTCAAGAAATATTAACAGAGGTGAATCTGTACAAAGATTATTTTATTGTCCTTTTTATTTTATTTTAATAACTGTCATTATTTTTTGTAATTGTTAACTACTATCCAAATAAGCAAGGGATGAAGCTAATTCAGTGCTTAGAGGAAGCAAATGTTAAGGTTGAATGTTTATATTAGGAACAAAGGTATAAATTATGATCTAAGTCTCTGCCAATAAAGACCAAAAATAAAAACAGGCAATTAAACATAAGTTAGGTAGATGAAAGGAAATAACAAAGATAACAGCAGAAATTTTAAAAAATTAAAAATAAAAAATCAAGAAATCCAGAAATTGCTTTTGAAAAGATTAGTACACTTGATAAACTTCTAGCTAGACCAAAAAACATAAAGAGGAAAAACAGAAGTTACCTATAACATAATACCGGGAATTAAGAAATTAATATCATTATAAATCCTACAGATGTTAAAAGGATAAAAAGAAAATATTATTTTAAAAATCATGCAGGAAAGTACTACAATTCAGATGAAATGAGCAAATGCGTAGAGAAAGTCAACTGATCAACTGCCCAGAAAACCAAAACTAACACAAGATGATACAGAAATTCTGAATAACTATACCCATGAAAAAAAATGAATTTTTAAATCAAAATATTTCAACAAGTAAACTCTTGGTTCCAGTGGCTTCACAGGTGAATTCTAGCAAACATTTAAGGAAGAAGTAGTACCATCTTTCACAACCTCTTCCAGAAAATAGAGGGGGAAAAAGCATGTTTTAACATCTTATGAGTTGATTTTTGATATCAAACCATGACAAAGACATTACAAGAGAAGAAAATATTCTTCATTAACATAGATGCAAGAATCTGTAACAAAATATTTTTCAGAAATACATAAAAAGAATACTATATTATAGCCAATTAAATTTTATCTCAGGAATACAAGTTTGGTTCAACATTTAAAAATCAATGTAATCTGTATAATTAATATATTAAAGTTAAAAACATATATGATCATCTTAATAAATAGAGAAAAGGCATTTAAAAATATCCAGCACTCATTAATGACAGTAATTCTCAGCAAATTAGAATAGCCATCCTCTAGCAAACTAGAATCTCAATTCTGATAGAGAACATGTACAAGAGTCTATTGTTAATTCTTGATGGGGAAGCCCTGAATGCTTTTCCCTTAAGATCAGAAAAAAAGACCAGAATGTTGAATCTTCTATTCAATATTGTATGAAGGCTCTAGCCTGTTCAATAATGCAAGGAAAACTAAAAGCATAAAGACTCAAAAGGAAGAATTTATTTCTATAAACAAAAGTTTTATTTAACCAATTGAAATTCACAGATAGTATACAATTTTATAAGAAAAGCCTGAGGAATGAACAAAGAAAACTCCTAGAACAATTTACATAAACCTAACAATATCTCAGACTATAAGATGCATATGGAAAATCAGTTGTATTTCTATATATTGGCAGAAAGCAATAGAAAATAAAATTAAAATTTTATTCACAATTTTATAAAAATGTAAAATACTTGCTGATAAATTTAACAAAAGATACGTGAATCCTCTATATTGAAAACTACAAAATATTGCTGAGAAAAGTTAAAGAAGACCTAAATAAATGAAGAGATATACTATATTTGTGGGTTGGAAGATTCAATATTGTTAGGATGTCAAACCTTCCCACAGCGATCTATAGTTCAACATGATTCAAATCAAAACTCCATAAGGCTTTTTAAAAATAGAAATAGATAAAACAATTCTAAAATTTATATGGAAATGCATATGACCTAGAATAGCCTAAACAATCTTGAAAAAGAAAGCCGAAGAATTCAAACTACTTGACTTCAAGACTTAAAGCTACAGTAATAAAGACAGTTAGATATTGGCATAAAGATAGACACATCAATCCCTGCAGCAGACCAGAGAATACATAAATAGATACACATGTTTATGGTGAATTACTTTTTGAGAAAAACAGCAAAGTCACTCAAAGGAAAAAAGAACATATTTTCAACAAATTGTGCTGAAACAATAGGATATCTGTGCAAAAAAAAAAAAAAGTGTGAGCCCAATCTCTGACCTCACACCACACACACCACATTTAATTAGGGATAAATCTTAGTTCTAAATATAGAAGCTAGAATAATAAGGCTTGTTGAGGAAAACAGGGAAATATGTTTACAGGATAACCAAAAATGTCTAAGGCAAAACTCTGAAAACTCTGAAATAAAATAAAAAATAAATGATAAATTAGACTTCATAAAAATTGAAACAAACCAGGCGTGGTGGCTCATGCCTGTAATTCCAGCACTTTGGGAAGCCGAGGCGGGAGGATTGTTTGAGCACAGGAATTTGAGACCAGCCTGGGCAACATAATGAGACCCCACCTCTGTAAATATAAAAATAAATGAAAAATTGGCCAGGCATGGTGGCACATGCCTGTGGTCCCAGCTACTTGGGAGGCTGAGGTGGGAGCATGGCTCAAGCCTGGGAGATTGAGGCTGCGGTGAGCCATGATAGTGCCATGGCATTTCACCCTGGGTGACTGAGTGAGACAGTCCCCTCCCCCTACTCCCCTGCAAAAAATCAAAACAAACAAAAACTCTGATCAACAAAATATATCATCATTATTATAGAAAATAAATAGACAAGAAAATATTTTCAAAGCATATTTCTGACAGAAGGCTGCTATTCAGAATGTGTAAAGAACTCTTTCAACTCAACAATAAAATGACAATTTAATAAAAGTAAGCAAAAGTCTTGAACAATGAAATATCAGTTCACAATAATGGTTGGGGAGTATGTAGAGCAAATGAAATGCCTGTCCATTACTGGAGAAAACGTAAAATAGCACAACCACTTTGGTAATTTCTTATACCATTAAGAGAAACACTCCTTAATCCAAGAGAAATGCAAACAAATATCTACAAAAAGTACTGTATGAAAATGTTTATAGCAACTTTATTCACAATTGCCAAGAACTGGAAACAGCCCAAATGCTCACGAATGGGAAAATGAATAAACAAATTGTGCTATATTCCTACAATGGGATACTACTTAGCAGTAGAAACTAAGCATCTACTGACACATGGAATAACATGGGTGAATCTCAGAGACTGAAACCCCTCCCGCAAAAGGAACACAAAAGGCTATACACCATATGATTCTATTTATATGAGGTTTTAGAATGGGAAAATGTAATCCGAGGTGAGAAGGCCAAAATGATGTTTTTTTGGGGTGTGAGGTGGTAGGAGGAGAAGAGGAGTTTGAGCAAAGGAGGAAATTTTCTGTAGATATGAGTGTTCTGTATCTTGATATGGATAGGGATACATGATGGGTCTGCTCTGTCACCTAGGCTGGAGTGCAGTGGCATGATCTCAGCTCACTGCAACCTCTACCTTCTGGGATCAGACGATTCTAGTGCCTCAGCCTCCCGAGTAGCTGGGGTTGCAGGTGCCTGCCACCACACCTGGTCAATTTTTGTATATTTAGTAGAGACAGGGTTTCGCCATGTTGGCCAGGCTAGTCTCGAACTCCTGACCTCAGTGATCCACCTGCCTCAGCCTCCCAAATTGTTGGAATTACAGGCATGAGCCACCGCACCAGGCTGTATTCACTTTTTTTTAAGCATACGGTTATTATTTATTCATTTAGGTGTTTATAAAATGTATGTGAAAGTAGAACTGTAAGCTATAATTATTGATTGATGGGAGGCAGGGTATGGTGATGGCATAGGTAAATCAAGAATGGCTGAATGTCGACAATTGTTGGAGCCAGGTGATACATAGGAGTTCATTTTACTATTCTGTTTACTTGCAGACATTTGAATTTTTCCATAATAAAATGCATTCCTTAGAAAAAGCAAGCGACAGGATATATACAATGTGGTATCATTTATATCAAGTTTGAAAACACGTACAGATACATAATATTATTTATAGGCATACACTTGTAAATGTTAGCAAAAATAATCATGGAAATCATAAACACTGGATTGGAGATTGGTGGTTACTACTGGATGGTGCAAAAGGAAAGATTCACAGGCCTTTAAAATCTTTTAAATAAAATATGGTATTAAATCATTAAATTATCCTCTGTACATTCTTAGGCTGGCATATTTCATTAGAAGCGTGGGAACCCTCAAGGACCCTGGGTACTCACTTGACGTTGAGAGATGAGCCATGTGTTTGTTACCTTCAGGTGAGCACTTGATGATGTGGTAAGCAGAAAAAGTACTGTATGAACTGGAAAGCGTAACCAAATACAGACTTTTAGGGGGAAAAATGAGGGGCTTCCAGATCTCTAAAGGTCTGAGGACCGTTTTGGCAAAACTACATTACTAGTGGGTGGGCCCCTTGAAAGAGGGACTGAGCCTGGTATGTGTATGTGTCTCTGGTACTTAAAACAATACCTAAAACATTTGGGATGCTCAACAGCCATTTACAGAGTCAATGAATAGACCTCCTTGCCCCTGCTTATAAACAGCTGGCTGGGGGGACATTTAGGAAATGCTAGGATCATTTTAATAAGTAGTAACAAGAGCTGATGTGAATTATGTTTCGGGCATTTTATAAGGACTTTTGTCAGAATTAACTCATTTTATCCTGACAGCAACTCTATGAAGTAGGTTCTATTATTATCAACCCCCTTTTACAGCTGATAAAACTGAGGGACAAAGAAGTTAAATTATTTATTCAACATCACACAATGAGTGCTAGAAGGCAAGGGATTTGTCCCCATAGCCCTTATATTTGATTACAAAAATCCATGGCTTGCTATGATCAAGTAAGTTTGGATACAAGCCCAGGCAGTGGGGAGCAGCCCTGGCTCCCCAGGTGATATTGAGATACCTGGGAACAGAAAAAAGCCCAGCAGAATTAACTTAAAGGGAAGATATTTCGAGTTGAAGGGAGACGTAGTAAGAAGAGACAACCAAGGGACAGATGGTCTTGGTTCCTGGGAGCCCTCAGCCCTCTCAGGGATGGATTGCCCTTTGGATGAGATCCAGGTCTTCTGTGAGTCCTGTGTTCCCTTCTGCATTGAGGTGTCTCTTCAAATCTCTCAGTTATCCTGGAGGGCTGGACACTCTTCTGGGCTGAGGTTGACAAAGTCTGCAGATAAATGTTCTGGATAAATAGAGCCTGCCCTGCTCCAGTTGCCAAGCAGAATGAATACAATGTGTTTTAATAATGAATGAGTGATTAATAGCAACTGCTTTGGAGAATTATGATGTGACGAGCCTTACCGTGCCATGGAGCTGGGTATAAATGATGCTGGAATGCATAATCGGGACGTTAGCATCTGTTACAAACTGCATTATAAACAGGCTCCATGATGCTGCTTATCCACACCTCCCTGACATGTTATTATAACACTTCTCTTGAGAATGGATTGGGAGGGGGAAATATGTCTATTAATCACCAATTGATGAAAAAAAAGAAGGAGAGGAAGAATGTTAAATTAAGGTAATGTTACACATGGCTTCTCCCTCTCCTGATACTGTTTTTAATCCTGCCCTTTGTTGGTCTGGAGGGACAATGTGTTTGCAGTTCCTGGGGTGAGAGAATGTGGCCTGGTCAGAGGAGATCACCTTGCAAAGCAGGTAGAAAGTGTCTGGGAACTTGGATCCATTAGCAAATATCATGGGAATTCCCTTTGCTTTACCAATAAAATCCAGACCCTCACTAGGCATGTCCCTGTGATTTGGCCCCTGTATGACCTGCCAGTCACACATACCATATATTCTACCTTCCAGTGTTCATTCCAAGTCACGCTGAACTATTTGCAGCCCTCAGAATGCTATGAGATTTCCTTCCTTCCTTCCTTCCTTCCTTCCTTCCTTCCTTCCTTCCTTCCTTCCTTCCTTCCTTCCTTCCTTCCTTCCTTCCCTCCCTCCCTCCCTCCCTTCCTTCCTTCCTCTTTTTTCCTTTCTTCCTTTCTTTCTTTCTCTTTCTTTCTTTCCTTTCTTTCTTTCTTTCTTTCTTTCTTTCTTTCTTTCTTTCTTTCTTTCTTTCTTTCTTTCTTTTCTTTCTTTCTTTCTTTTCTTTCTTTCCTCTTTCTCTCTTTTTTCTCTTTCTTAATGTAGCTTCTGCTCTTTCTAGAACATCACCCTCTTTCCTGTAGCAGGTTAATCTATTGCTCATCCTCCAAAGTTCTCTAAATCCCAGTTAAATGTCACCTCCTCCACCAAACTTGCCTGCTCTTCCTCACCTTGTTCTTGCCATCAGAGCATGGATCACACAGTATCACAGGGCATCACATGGTATGGAATCACTTATTAGTCATCTCCTCTGTCGACTGAGAGAGTTTGTCTTACCCAACTGTGCATTCCCAGAAATCACCTCTGGATGAGTGTAGAGGTTTCATAAAAGAAACAATGAGTGTTCAGATGATGGAAACCAAACTTCCAGTACCATTTAGGGTGATTCATATACAATCTCACCCTAATGATGCTGATTCATTCTATCTACACACAGTTACTGAGAGCCTCCTATGTTTTCTTTGAGGTGTTGCAGATAGAGTAGTGATCAAAGCAGTCTGAGCCTTTGCTTTTGTGGAGCTGACATTTTGTTAGGGGATTTTTCTGGGAAGAAGCATTACCAGCCTGTGAGTAACTTGTCTCCCAGGGCCCTTCCCTGAGCACATTCCCCCTCATTTTTCACATTCAACTCAAGCGCTGTAATCTTTAGAAAACCTTCCATCCCTGTTCTGGGCAAAGCTATAGTATTTCCCTGATTCTAAGATGTGCACTTTCCCATATTTTACTGTTGTTGTTGTTTTTTAATTGGGAATTTAAAATTTTGATGTCTGAACTGTGGTGTGTTCACTTGATGTGGTCAAGTTTCCTTTTTCTGCAAGCTGTTGTTAAGTCAGTAGGTGTCTTATCATCAAGATGTCTCTCGGTTAGGGAAATAAGTGAGTACCTAGGGGCTGTGCTTCCATGCGCTTTGTCTGCACAGTGACGGGCTGTTCACCTCATTGTGTCTGGTCACATATCTTTCTCCCTCACTGGACTGTGAATTCCTCAAGGGCAACCACGTCTAATTCAACCATGATTTTTCTTCAGCTCCAAACCCGCCCCTGACACCCAGTAAACATTCGCTTCTCTTGGGGACAAAAGCAATGCATGACAAAATGGAGTAAAGCTCTCCTGCTCTCCACATGATCAGATCTGGTAACTTCTATTTCCTATGCATCCTTTGAAATTTACCTCCAGAACCACTCCAATAGCGGGCAGCTGAGCACAGGTCCACCACATATTGGTGGAGTGGTCTGCCATGTTAATTCTGGGGCCTCAGAATCCTGACCTGTAAAATGGAACTGAAAATGCCCACCTCATGCAGTTTGGAGGAGGGTAAAGTGAGATACACAGTATTAATTTCTTCGGGCTGCCATAACAAAGCATAGTTGGGCCTCTGTGTTCATGGGTTCCACATCATGGATTCCATATCTATGGATTCAACCAACTATGATAAAAAATATTTTTAAAAAACCACAATAAAAACTAATGATACAACAATTAGAAGTACAAATTTAAAAATAACTCCAATCTTTGCCTTGTCTTCACATGACCATTTTTTCTCTCTCACAAGAACATCAGCCCTGTTGAAATGGAGCCCATCCTACTCCAGTGTGACCTCACTTTAGCTTAACTGCAATGACCCATCTACAATGACCTTATTTCCAAATAGGATCATTCTGATGTTTGTGATTTCAACCTATCCGTTTTGGGAGACTCAATTCAACCCACAACATGCAGAGAATATTCTAGTAAATAATCCGTCTTCTTCTCTTCCACCCCCCTCCACTCCTATTTATGCCAACTCAAACTACTCTTCCTGCATCCTGCTTCTTGTCTGTGCCTCTCTGATGTGTATTGCTAGGTGTCTTTTTAAGAAAGTACGCCCTCCTTTTCTAACCAGTTGGAAGGTTTGTGAAGGTAAAGAGGAAAAAGCATCCTTATGGCATCTAAAAGACTGCTTGGCATATCCTGAGGTCTCAGTATGTGCTAATGGATTGGGTAATAACAAAGGAGCAGAAAATATTGATCACACTTTCTTCCACGCTGTCCTTCTCTCTAAAGTCCTTCCTCTGGGTGCTTAGAGAGTATTATCATTCTTATTTCAACTAGCCTCATCTTGTATGAGCTTCTAAGAAAAACATGAGTTTAAAGAGTTTGCATAAGGCCTGTAGTCATTTATTTCCACCTTAAGGACCACTATTCCGTTGGAGGCCACCATAATCTCTCACTTGGGCAGCTGCCAGCTGCCATAGTCCTACCCTCCTTTTTTTTTTTTTTTTTTTTTGAGATAGAGTCTCGCTGTGTCGCTGAGGCTGGAGTGCAATGGCGCTATCTCGGCTCACTGCAGGCTCCACCTCCCAGGTTCACGCCGTTCTCCTGCCTCAGCCTCCCGAGTAGCTGGGACTACAGGCGCTTGCCACCATGCCTGGCTAACTTTTTTGTATTTTTTTTAGTAGAGATGGGGTTTCACCGTGTTAGCCAGGATGGTCTTGATCTCCTGACCTCGTGGTCCGTCTACCTCGGCTTCCCAAAGTGCTGGCATTACGGCCACCACGCCTGGCCAGTCCTACCTCCTTTTAAATCCATTCTCTGCACTATGATCAGTGGGATTTTTCCATAACAATAAAATCATGGCATCATCTCTGTGGCTTTGCCATTGCCCTCTGATTAAAATCCAGGAACCTGTGATGTCATATAATCATCTGCATGATATGGCCCCTCCCACTTTATGGCTTACCCCTCCTGACCTCTTAACTCAAGACTTAATAGCCATATGAGCTTCTTGTGGTTACGTTGATGGATCCTGAACTCACCTATAACCTTTAACTCATGCTATACCTGATGTCCTTTCTCTTCCAGTCTCCTCTGCCTTTCCTGAGCTAACTCCTCCATAGCCTTCAAGTCACAACTTAGATATCACCTCCTCTAGGAGTCCTTAAAGATCTACTAAGATTGATTCAAATACCCTTCTGTGTGTTTGTTAGGGCTGGAGGGTATATGGTGCCTGGTACTATGCCTGAGGCACAATCAGTACTGGATAAATATTTGTCAAAGGTTGAATGGATGTTGTTGAAAGAGATTGAGCCATGAAGTCAGAAAGCTAGGGTGAGAATTCTGTATTTTCAATTTATTAGATTTCAATCTTGGGAAAGTCATCTACTTTTTCTGAGCTTTAGTT